GGGGGGCCTAGGATTGTATGAATTTTAGTAGAGCCAAGACTACAGTAGTACTAAACCGAAAGGACCAGGGCTGTAGGGTTTAGGGGCTTAGAGCTGAGGGCTTAGGGTTTAAGGCTCTAGGGTTTAAAGTTTAGGGCTCCAGGCTTTGGGGCTTAGGTGTTTAAGGTTTAGGGTTTAAAGCTCTAGAGCTTAGGGGTGAAGGGCTTAAGGTTTAGGGTTTAAGGCTTTAGAGCTTAGGGGTTAAGGGCTTAAGGTTTAGGGCTTAAGGGTTAATGAAGAGGTTTGGCTAAAGTGATTAGGAAGCCAGGGCTTGGAGTTTTAGTATTTGCGGGGGGTTGTTATTCGGGGCTGGCTGTCTAATTACTTAATTGCCCTTTTCCCTCCCTCCCTCCCGTCTTTGCATCAGTCGCTGACTGGTTGTCCGGCTGCCTAGTCAAAAGGAGGCCGGCCTGCACGAGTGGCTGGCCTGACGGTCTGGCTTGGCTGCCTAGCGAAATCGACAGCCATGCTGCCTGTCTAGGTTGTCGGCCTATCTGGGGCTGGCTGTCTGATTAATTAATTAGAGAACACAAGGGCCCAAATTGACTAATTACTGTCTGGCTCGAGGCAACTGGTTGCCAAGAAAGAACATGCCATGCTGTCTGTCTGCCTGTCTGCCCTAATTAGGGGCGAAACAGCAGCAGATGCCACGAGAATGGGGGACCCCTGTCTGAGGCGGGCCCCCCATTCCAACATCAGCTGCCTAATCCTCTCGCTTCGGTCATCTGCCTGGGCAGAGGTTTAAGGGTTCAGGAGAGGTTTAGGGTTTTGGGTTTAGGGTAAAAATCTGTCCTGTCGGCGCTCTGCCATCGTCGCTTTCTTGCCGAGCAGGTGAATCTCGGCATTTGTGTCCAGCAGAGTCGCCTAGGCATGTCTGTTTAACTATTGGGTTTAGGGTTTAGGGTTTAAGGTTTTCATTAGAATTTTAAGGTTTGGGGTTTTGGGCTTCAGGGCGCGCTGTCTGCATCGACCGCAGAATGGCTGTCTGGGCCTGTATGGCCTGGAGGAGCATCGTTGCCTGGGCAGGCTGGCTAGTGTGCCACAGACTTAAATCTGTCTCTCTGGCTGAGGCCTGATGAAGTAATTAATTAGTCCTGCCTCGCTTGGCTGGGTTCTGAAGTTGGCTGCAAGTGGACTGGGCGTCTTTAGCTCTGCCTTGAGGTCTTGTAGCTGGCTGCTTTGGTGCAGGCTCTCCTGGCTGCCTGAACTTTGAAACAGTCTCTTGGGAGTCGGTGTTCCGCCTGTCTGTGACCCCAAGCTCTTGTCACTGTCCTGTCTGGAGGGCATGTGAAAGCTGTCTTGCCGCCTTGGGTGGGCTGGCTGCGGAGTCTTGGGAGTTGCCTTCTGCTGCGAGGCTGACTCTGCTTCTAGCTTCTGCAAAGACTCTCCCTGCCGCTTCTGTCTTCTCTCTCTCGCAGACAGAGGCTGTGAAGGCACTGGCTGTTCTGCTGCAACAACTGCTTGTTCCGGTGCCTGCTCCTTAGCGACTGCCTGAGAAGGCTGCCTTTCTGCTGCTGGCACAGACCAGCTGCGTGAGGCGAGCTGTCTGCTTCAACAGCTGTTGCAGAAGACTGTCCTGCAGCACATCTTGTCCCAAACAAAACTTCGCTCTGAACCGGTCCTTGTCTCTCTGCGACATGCCCTGCAGGGCTTGCCCTGCACCTTCCATTGCTGGTCCTGCAACAATGGCTGAATGCATTTATTAATTATTCGACTGCCTGCCCGCAATGCTCCTGTCCTGTCTTTCTCTGGCCAAAATGGCCTCACAAAAGTGTTGCTAAGTAATTAATGAATTAAAGCATTCGAAGCACAGGACTGACTGTCGAGCCTGTGAAGTCCGTCCAGTCTGTCCTGCTGCAGCACAGCAAGATCTCCTCTAATTGCTTGCTCGACTGCCTGTCCGATTCTCCTGTCCTCTCTGGGTCTGGCCAAAATGACCTCCAGACAAATGAAAGCTTTAATTCAGGGATTACAAAAAGGCACAACTGACTGTCAAGCCTCGGAGGTCTGCCCAAACGACTGAGGCTGACTGTCTGCTCTACAGCCGGAACGGCTGCGTAAGAATCGGTCGTTGTGTCTGACTGT